GCCAGCGGCTGCTGCTGCAGCTGCCGCTGCCCGCTTGCCCTTTTTCATCAGCATTTTCTGCTGCTTCCGAGATAAGTTCGCGGTGAGTGGTATAAAATTCAGGGATTCGTTGGAGCCCGATTTGCGGATAACCTTTCGCGCCGGGGGACTGCTGGCATCGCTACTGCGGGAGCACGATCGGGAGCGGGGAGATCGCGAGCGGGAACGCGAACGAGAGCGCGATCGCGAGTACCGTTTCTTGCTCGAGTACTTCAACGAGTTTGAAGATGACGGCGATCTGAAAGGGGTAAATAAACTGGTTTAGGTTTCAAGTTCATTTGACAAAGGGAGACGCCAAAACTTACCGCGAACGACTCCTGGAGTATCTCGATGACGAAGAGTGACGATGGGAACCGTAGCCGGACGACGACTTGTTAAACTGATTGACCTTCTGCTTAAACTGATTCACTATACCCGAGGAGCCCTTGCTCGGGGCCTTCTCCGGCTCGCGTTCTCTCTCCCGCTCCCTTTCCTGCTCCAGCTTCTTCTGGAAGTAGTTGCTTCGCTGCGGCTGCGGGGGCGTCACATTGCTTAGCACCACGTCGATGCCGTCCCGCTCGCTGTGCACCGTGGGCATGGGTTCGTTGTCCCAGTCCCGCGTCCACAGCTCATTGCGATTGGCCGCCGCTATAATCTTGCCCTTTAGGCAAATGTCAATCTGATCCTTGTCGAGGTCTGTGTTACACTTTGAGTAGCAACGGGCAACATATTGATTGAGGGCGTCCGGCCAGGAATCGTTGGAGGCCATTTGAAAGCTGTTGGGCCGCTTAAATGGGGATGCTTGCGGTGGAGCGGGAGATGCAGTCTGTTGCTGCTGCTGCTGTTGTTGTTGCTGAAGTTGCTGCTGCTGATGTTGCTGTTGGGGATTCTCTATGGGGGCCACTATGGCCAGTGGCAATGGTGGCGGTGGTTTACTTAGATCCGGGGTGATAGGCACGCCCACATCGCTGGCGCTAATAATGGGTGGGGGTGGTGCTATGGGCGTTGCTTGAGCTTGATTGTTAAACGGATTGCTATAAGCCGATTGCTCAAAACTCTTGTTTTTGTTGTTACGCTTGCGCTTCTTCTTGTTGCTATTGCTGCTGCTGTTGTTGTTATTGTTATTGTTATTGTACATTTGCATGACCTGTTGCTGCTGCTGCTGTTGTTGTTGTTGCAGGGGATTGGGGGCACCAGCCAACCGCTTTTGGTTTAAATTTAAATTGAAACGTATTCCCCCGAAATTCTTTTGCTGTTGCTGCTGTTGTTGTTGCTGCTGCTTGTTTTGGGCCGCTGTTTGGCCGATTTTGGGCGGTGGAGGAGGTGGCGGACCCGAGGGAAGTGGCGGCGGCACCGCCAGCGCATTGCTAAAGCCCGGCGGCGCATTCGAAGCACTGACCGTCGAGGTTACCTGCTGTTGCTGCTGCTGCTGGTAGCGCATGTAGTACTGGTAGTACTGCTGATATTGCTGCTGGTAGGCGGCATTTTGGTTGGCATACCAGGCATAGTTGCTCCACTGCTGGGCGAGATTACCGGGATTGCCGCCCTGCTGCTGCTGTTGTTGCTGCTGCTGCTGCATCTCCTGCAGCTGCGGAATTAGGGGCGGTGGGGCACTCATGGCCTCCGACATGGTACTCCCTCTCACGCTCTTTCGCTAAAGGTGGCCTTTGTTTTTTTTACCTGAACTTACCTTTGGATTTTGCTATTTCAGCCCCTGATTTCGGGACAAAGGGTACAAAAATGTGGAAAATGTAGTCGTTAGTATGGGTGTGTGTGCGATGGTATGTGACGCCATTTTTATTTCTTACCTACTTTGGCCTCCGAGAACTGGCACTTTTGGCTTCAATTTTCGCGTTTTAAACGCCGTTTGCGCTACAATAACTAAGTAAAACGGTCGCGCAATGCAAATAACTATATGCAAATGCACGAGAACACTCGGAAAACTCTACTTTTTGCCTGATTTCAACACGATATTTAAACACGTCTGGACAGATGAATTTTTTTTTTCGTATGAAGAAGAGAGACAGAAAAATCGATGACAAGAGAATTCGGTGTGACCATCGCTTGCTGCGTCACAAATCCGCCGTAGGAGCGGCCACACTGCAGTAGATATTGGGGGCATTCCCCTAACCGCTGAATCTTTTAATTTTAATATATTTCTATTATTTGGCAGGAATTAAAAACGATCTCTAGTATTAAAGCCCAAAATTGTCCAAAAATAAAAAAGGTTTTACTTTTTTTAATTTCTTTATTAAATTCAAAAGAAAATATAAAAAAAACTAAAAGTTTATGACCCTGTCATCTGGTACTCAAATTTCCTTTGCTAATTTTAGTTTTGTAAAACAGTACTGACAGCCAAAAATTTAAGAATGCTATTTTTAATGTTTACTACCATGAAAACGTGTTTTAAATTGGAAAAAAATAAAAATAAAAGATACTTTGGGTCCTTGATATTATATATTCTTGAAATTAAACTCCAAATAAGAAATGACATTTATTATTTTCACTTTTAAAATAACTTCATTATTATTATCTAAAGCTATCCTCTAGTCTTAACATGTAAGGAATATTTAAATTTCATATATTAGAGCCAGTTTTCTAGTTAAGACTTAACGTCCACGCCTTGGAGGTAGGCAACATATTCTTTAAGAGGACAGGAACCACAGGTTTCCAATACAAACATTACATCAAAATAAAATACTAATTCTAATTTCTTTTAATCACAGATAGTTGGGCGAACTAACATAGTCATGTTTCGATATAAGCCTTTTAAATAGTTCTTCTAACAGTGAAAGTCCCATGAAACACCTATCCTATGAGCTCCACCAACAGGGTCAACGCCATCAAAAGCCAGGTGATACATGACATCAACGTTTTCGCCGATTTTGGTTTGATAGACAAACCCTGTTCTTGAGTCCTCGCGGACCTTGGCCTTCACCAACGTTCCATTCTGGAAGTCGTACTCAATGCCAAACGCAAACTGCTTGACATTTTCAGAACTGTAAAGGTTCGACTTTAAAGCAAAGGCCCAGCTTTCGCCAATCCGTTGAAAGATCGAGCCTCGCAGGTCCTCAAAATTCTCGCTGCAAGTGGAATTTTAAAAGAATATTTATTTCTTGAATTTCACCAAGAAGAACCTACAGTTTCAGGCCCACTTCGGTTCTTCCATTGTTGTAGCCCAAACAAAAAGCGTGCTTATCGAAACCTTTATCGTCCAGGTTGTAAGATGCCCGATATCCCAGCAGCCAATTTTCGACTGGAGTAACCACGACATAGCCCAAGAAAAGGGGTTCTTTGTAAAGGGGTACCACCAGTTCCACTTTCACAGGATTTCGCTCAAAGCCACATTTCAGCTTGGTTTTAAAAGTCACTCTATAAAGTAAATCAGTAACATTATTTAAGTATAGGGCCAAGAGTCTTATTTTAGGTAGTATCATGGACATTACATTTGTTATACTTTTTTGGTTAAAAAAAGGTGTTACTGTGTTTTGTTCTGTTCTGTGTAAACAAAAGCTTTATAAACTGCTTAGATCAGGTGATACTTAATGTGTAAAGACACTTTTTAGACTTTTAAGATCATTTTTATAAATAGTGAAATATTGAAGTCGAAAAAGTTACACTTAAGCCCCTCGAAAAAACTCACCCGTCTTTCGTGCCAATTGTCGACTTCAAGAGGGCGTACCACCGACTTTCAAAATTCATCCCATGCACTCCTATCTCCGACAAAATTTCATTGTTGGTGAACCAGCCAAGAGACATATTATAGTTGTCAATTTCCTTGAACACCTCCATTCCCCCAAAGACGGAGTCCATGGTGGGATATCCCTCGCCGAAGGTGCTCAGGTAGTAATCCTTGTCCGTCCTCGTGTTGCACTCCACTTTCCAGGCGCCTATTTTGAAACCGGTGATAAGAAGGTCCTTTGCCAAGGCGCCGACGTGGAAGTACGAGGGCATTTCTCCCTCTTCTGGAGGATTGGGCATTATCTCCATTTCATCCTTCTTACTGGGCTCTGCAGGCTCCTCCTGATTAGCTGGCTCGTCTTCTTTTTTTTCCTCATCTTTAGGATATGTTGTAGGACGATTACGCCTTTTGTTCCTGCGGAACAAGTTGCGAAGCCGTTCCTTTGCTTTTGGCATTGAAAAAAACTTAAAATATCGCAAATAATTGGGAAAAAATTTAAAATTTTGACGTAAAAAGAAATAAGATCTGACACTTTAAACAACCACTACTAGTGTAGTAAAAAGTGGCTTTAGTCAATGAATTTGGATTGGCACCGTGATTATAAATCAAACAGTTTTAAATCATTAATTTTAAATCAGTATTAATCAAAATTAAAGTAATTTTTATTTCGGGTTTTATTGCAGTTTTTATTTTCATTTTAAAAAACCACAAACACACGATAATTTACCGCCTACATATTAAAGTACCAGGAGGCGCCAAATTTATGCTTTCCATTGATGGGATCTTTTCCTTCGAAACAAACGTGAAACAAAGCTTCAATGTCCTCACGAAATCTCCGTTGAAAAATAAACCCAATGCGAGTATCCCCTCGCACTTTTGCCTTTAGCAAAGTGCCAGGTTCCAACTCGTACTGGCCCCCAACGTGAACACTCTTGGCATTCACGTTTCCATAAAGGTTTGCCTTCAAGGCCAAGGCCCACTTTTCTCCAATGCGCTGAAAAATCGATCCTCGAATGTTCTCGAAGTTCTCACTATAATATAGGGATGTACATTAGTCATGAAATACAATGAAGTCGGTAGTTACCTACAGTTTCATTCCCACTTCTGTGGAATTATTGCTATAGCCCACGCAAAAGGCATGCATGTCGAATTTTTTATCCTCCACATTAAGTACTGTGCGGTAACCCATTAAATAATTTGTAGCGGGTTCGCACAGAACGTAGCCCATAAAGAGGGGATCCTTGTAAATAGGAACATAAAGCTCTATTTTTCCGGGCTTGCGTTCGAAGCCACACTTCACCTTGCATTGGTACTCACATCTGTAAATATATAAATGTGTTTTAACTAGATATATTCCAATACTGTAAATTTTTCGAGATAGTAAAGGTAAAATAATCCTTACGATTTTTTAATTTAAAGGTGATGTTGAAATATTGAAGCTTCGTTTTTAAACCTAGCCCCATAAACCTATATTTCTATACCCAGAAAATTAAAACTGCATGACATTTAGGGAATCCATTAAATCTAACACAACCTCTGATTCATATCCGACTCACCCGTCACTCGAGCTGAGCATAGACTTAAAAACAGAGGACCACGTTCCGCCGAGAGCTTCTCCACGTGAACCAAGGTCGGACAGCAAGTATCCATCGGACAGCCAGGCAAGGGATGCGTGAAAGTTGCCCTCTTCTTTGTAGGCCTCCAATCCGCCGTAGACAGAGTTCCAGGTCGGATAGCCCTCGCCGAAGCTGCTCAGGAAGAAGTCCTTCTCAGTCTTCGAGGTGCTCTGCAGCTTCCAGAGGCCATTGGAGTAACCGTGGATAAGGCACATCTTAGCCAGGAGGCCCACATGGAAGTAGCTGGGCATCTCGCCCTCTACCGGCGGAGGCGGCAGGATCTCCACTCGATTCTCCTTCTTAGCTTCTTCCTCGCTGCTGGTGTTCTGTGCATCACCACCACTATTATCAGTGGTATCCGGCTCATTTTCGGATGCCAGACGTTTCCGTTTGTTCTTCCTGAACAAGTTTCGTATCCTGTATCTCATGGGCATGGTGCTATATATTATTATCGAACGTGTTAGTTTAGCATTCACTTGGAATTTGGGGGCCGAAGAAAATCTGATAGTACGATCAAAGCGGCTGTGATCAAAACTCAGAGGAAAACAAATACATTTTCGTTTACTTATTTTTAAGTCCTTGTCTTTAATTATATATTATTTTAATAATCTTGAACTAATATTAAATAATTGGAACCCAATCTAACAATGATCTTAAAATTTTTAATAAATAACCTCTCGATGTATTTCTTTAATTAAACTTTATTTTTGAAAAGGAGATGTATTTGTCATTTGAATAAAGATAAACCAATTTGGAAATTTAAATCGTTGAGTGACTGCCGTCAGAAATCAATTAGCACTGGAGGGCCACGCCCACTCCCAATCTGTGGTTTCCATCCTTGAAGTTGTTGCAATCCAGCACCGCGGAAATGGAGGCGGTGATGCCCTCGCGCAGCTTCTGCTCATATCCCAGGCCCAGCTCCACCACGTTGTTGATCTTGGCACGGATGAGGGCTTCTTCTTCCAGGTGATAAATCATGCCCAGGTTGACGATCACATCTCCGCCTCCGTCCTGATCTCCGCCCTCAGCGTTTTCGGCTCCTCCACCACCGCCGCCGGCGCCTTTGGTGACCTCGACCCCGGCATCGATCTTCTCGTTCGCCTTGTAAAAGAGTGAAGCCAGCCAGGTGTCTCCGTTCTTCCTGCAAAATGTGTAGAAAGGTTTGAGTAGAAACCTCTCAAAATTTCAGTCCTTTTTCGCACTTACAGCTCGCCATGGAGGGTTGCTGTTTCGTTGGACCAACCCAAGGCCACTTTCCAGCTTTTAAATTCGGTGTTGCCAATATCGAACTCGGTTCCCACTCCGCCCAGGAACTCCTTGTGGCCCAAAACCAGCGAGCAGTTCAAAATCGGCTCCGAGTTTAGCCCAATGTCGGCCAGGAAGTTGAAATTCTCCTGGGCAAAGCCCATCTTGAACTTTCCATCCGCTTCGCTGTAACCGGTAGTAATATCAATAATTTATATTTTAAGGATCATTAGATGGTAGGTCTTACCATCATTGTAAAGGTAAAGTACTGTAGCTTAAAAACTGTGATAAGAATAGGTCTAATTGTTGTATTCACCGAATATATCCGACTCGATAAAAGTGTTTTTAAACCCTATAAAAATTATATAAAGTTGGATATAACCCCGTACGCACTTTGATGCTGGTTGAAACTTGGCCTCAAGGGCTAGCATCAGACCCTGTGCCAACTTGTCTCGCTGCATTATCTCGCCAAAGAGCCAGTTCTCCGTGTTCCATCGCTCCGTGAGGGTCAGGCCCTGATCTTCGATTTTGTACTTGCTCTGCAGAGAGCCGGACACCTTGCTGTTGTCCTGACTGGCGAAGCCCGTGGTAAAGAACTCGATCCCCGAGTTGGTCAGAGTCTTGCAGTCGATCTGCCAGATTCCCGGATGGTAGCCGCGCTTGAAAAGATCGCGGGCCAGCTTACCCAGATCGGGATACGTCGGCGTTGGAGCCATTGTGGGCGGAATAAAAAGGTGGTATGGTATGTAAGGCCCGACTGATTTCGAAATTTTTGTTCTCTACGCTTTAACAGCCTCGGTTTGCCGAAAATTTTTATCTAATGCTGCCTGATCAGTATCTAGTTTTATACAGGCTGAACATCTTTGAACTATAATGCATGGTTTCCTGTGCTTATCCTAAAATGTACTTTAACCACAAGCTTCATTTTAATAGAAACCTACAGTTGTAACGAATTTTTTTAAAAATATCACATTAAATCTTTTAAAAACGCTGTTCCCAATTCTTTTGAAATGCTCCATGAACGCTGCAATGATGACTTTCGTATCTTCTCGATTTATTTCTCATGTAAATGCACAACGAAAAGTAAAAGGTTGTTAATGATAATGTGGTTTGGGGTTGTGTGTGTCCTAGTTCCGCCGCCAGTTGCTATGGGGCAACCCCTAAGGTTCTGACAACTGAAAAAATGCAATGCCTTTTGAGCCATAATATTCCTTTTCAATATTTTTTTTTAATAGGTAAATGTATTTTTACTGTACTTTTGCCAACAACAAATTTGCTAATTTTCAATGCACTAATCAAAGCTACATCCAACGACGACGGACTGACCGACCAAGCGATTGAACCACCCACCCCTTGCATCGTTTGTTGGCAGTGTCTCTTCTGCAGATTCGGGTGGCTGGGGCAGGGAGTGGGCGGATGTGGTGATGGCCGGCTGGCCGGGTGACAACTGATCCAATCTAATCGTTAGGATGTGCAGATTCTCTTTATATTTGACTGTGTGTTGTTATTTTTTGAAGAATATCTTTTCTTTTATTTTGTTTGCTCTTGTTGTTACTGCACTTGTCTGGCTGTTGTTGTTCTTGTTGTTGGGCGTGTGGGGATGTTAGACAACGTTCAAGGATTCCTCGACTGGCGGGAAACCGTCGACTTAGGCCTCCAGCTCCAGACCAACACCGATCTTGTGGCCACCGGCATTGAAGTTCTTGCCATCGACCAGCGTGGACAGGGTCAGGGTGACTCCGTCGCGCAGCTTCTGCTGGTATCCCAGACCCACCTGGCTGGCGTTGTTGACCTTAGCGCGCACGCTAGCATCGTCATCCAGCTGGTATTTGGCGCCGATGGCGAACTTGGTGTTGCTGGTGCCGCTGGCCCACGACAGCTGCACACCCACATCCAGCTTGTCCGAAGTGCGTTGGAAGATCGAGCCGCTGAACTCCTGGCCGTCGTTGCTGATCAGAAAAAGGAAACCATTAATTCGGAGTCATTCAAGACCAAAGGCCAAGTAGTAATACTTACACAGCTGTGTGCAAGACAAAGTCCTTGGTGGTGTAGCCAAGGGCAAAGTTGTTGGTGGTCAGCTTGGACTGTTGTGTGTCAAATGCGGTCTGGTAACCGGCCAACCATCCCTGGTAGCCAAGCACGGCAGAAGCATTGATCAAGGGGCCCTTCAGATCAATGTTCACGTCCGAATCGGCCTTGACGTTCTCATGGCCGTAGGCCACCTTGAACTTGCCGTTCTTGTTGCTGTCGGAGGTGAAAAGATGATATAATATTAGTCATCTGACGAAATCAAACATGTAAAACATATCAGTTAGTTTGCCAAATCGAAAAATAAAAGCCTAAGTGGCTAAACACAAGTAAGTTTTTCTTAATTTCTTAATAACTCTATGAAAAGTTTTAAATCTTACCCAGACTGGGGAGCGAAGTTGCCCTCCAGGGACAGCTTCAGACCCTCGAGGAGCTGATCCTGGACAGCGACCTCGGTGAACAGGGTGTTGTCTGTGTTCCACTTCTCAGTCAGGGTCAGGCCGTAGTCCTTGACCTTGTACTTGGTCTCCAGGGAGCCGAAGACCTTGCCAGACTCCTGGTTGGAGTGTCCGGCTGTGTTGAACTCGATGCCCGACGAGGTCTTGGTCTTCAGATCCAGCTTCCACAGGCCAAAGTTGTAGCCTTTGCTGAAGACATCGCGAGCCTGTTTGCCCAAATCGCTGTATGATGGAGGAGCCATCTGGAATGGAATGGATTTAAACGCGCCGTCAATTAGTTGGTGAATAATCGATAGTTGTGACTATGGGGGCATTTATAGCGAAATCATTTCACTCGCCAGGTCCATTATTGCGCGTTTCGAAAGATAAGTTTTACGAACGGGGGCTGGTTTAATCTTATCAGCAACATGATGATTATTACTTTTTGTCTAATTTAAATCAGAAGTGTCTGCCGTTCGCAAAAGAAAAGTGAAAACTAAAACTAGAGGGAGCAAAAAAACAGCATTAACATGGGCAAAGAATTTTTCAGGCCATTTCCTCATTTTCATCTTGGCTAAATGTCAATTTTTGCGGCGAAAATAAACAAATCAATTTAAATTAGTGTTCAAGGCAGCCAGAGGTACAGCATTACCAACTAAAGCAGAGAAAATTGCTAGTGACTGAGAGAAGAGGTCAATGTACGTCTGGGGCAAAAGAAAGTGCCAGGGAAAAGTGGGATGAATAGAAACAGTGAAAGAACGACCAACCGTACACCTTAATCGGAGAACTAACTAATTAAAATTGTTTTTTCCTTGAAGTGACTAACTCTTTTTAAAAGTGGAGAATAAGATAGTAGAAAGTTCTATGTAGAAATCGATTGAACTATAAAGCTTTTCGTAACATTATTAGGTATGAAAGATCCCTTATTTATAAAAGAAAAACAATATATTTGAAGTATAAACATTTTAATATCTTCATATCTAGGTCAGACCATAATTCTATGATATGTTTTTAATAGTTATATATAACACTCGATCTAAATTGGCACTACACCCCTAGACTTCAAAGGCGTGAATTCTTTTCTTTGTGTAATTCTTGTTTACTCTATTTATTGGCGACTGATGATACTAAAAACTGACGGTTTTCTAAGAGTCGGATGATTTTATTCACATGATGTCAACACTCAAAGTTAATATTGCTCATATACACAAAAATGGTCATATTTATCTTCATCTCAAAACTAAAAATAAAATTTTAAAAATTCCAAAAAAATTATACACTTGATAGTTCCCTTATCCCATGACTAGCTATTTTTCTGGCCATAGCTGTGCTTTCTGTGTGTGTTTACGTTCCGTACTTGCTGGCATTAATTGCTGGTCAGTCCGCTAGAAAAGCGATCATTGACACAGCCGCTAACTGCACTTTTGCAGTCTCTGCTTTGGTCTCTTCTTCGCTGTT